ACGGTAAAAGTTGTTTTGATTCGTCCAGATCTCGGCCCCACCCGACCCGTAGTGGTTAGAGGCTACCAGTGCTTTGACTCTGTCGCCATCAAAATCGGGCGCCATTATTAGCACCGGGAGTTCTATGGGGTCGCCAACGAATTGGGTGAAATAGTACTGTAGGAGCGATCGGGATATTAGGTATTTCCCGGGCGGGAAGTATACGATGGCCGGGGATGTGGTGCTGGAGTCACACCCTATGCCACACCGGTCGCCAAAACTGATGGCCAGGTTTATGGCATCTGAGTCATCGGTTTGACCGTCCCCTTTGGCCCCGTAATCTCGTACGTTACGAAACACTTGGTAAGTACCAGGGTTATTGTTGAAAGGTGATAGTCCATCGTGTTTGAGCACCCGGAGCCAGTGGTCCGTTTGGGGGCTGTGAGGTAGGGCTTTGCCTACGCATTGGGGGCCCAGTGTTTGTGTGTATGGGCACAGGTATGCAGTTATTACTAATAATAATAGATTTTTATACATATTTCAAAATATTTTGTATATTAGAAAATGAATCACACATGAATCATAGTAAAATGCTTATAAATTATATACTAGTTTATATTTGTAATAATATTTATTAACATTAGCATTTAGTATGCTAATTAATTTTGAAAATGTTATATTTATATCACAAACTACACAGTATTTCAACTAATATTACACTTTTATAAATAAATGTTTGTAATTTATTTAATGCACAGTATGTGAAAGGAAAGGGAGGTAGACCCTATTTGGTAATATAAATCTATTGTTTAAAAATTGCTTGAATGCCAAATAATATTTTTTCTTTATATAAAAATTGTAACAATTAATTCATTATAACATTTTGACATTTTATATTACAATACAAGTTTCAAACGGAAATTAAGGGAACAGTATGCGCATAATACAGTAGTATGAAGTTTTAATAATAATATTATTACCATGAATAACAATATATAAAATATTTATCAATTTAATTACAATTTTAATTTTTATTCAATTATGATTCAATAATAAAATACAAATTAAATCCCCTCATATAATTCTCTATAATTATTAGTAGTTATCAGGGTTGTTAATAGATTAAATATTTTGTGCGTATTATTTACTCTTAAACTGTAATTATTATTAAATTATTTTAAATTATATGCTTGATTAATTATATAAAGTTAAGACGGTGTAATTGTTGTCCTCCAATTTTAATTTTAAATTAATTTCAATCATTAATTATTATTTTGAATAGACTTGTTAATTTATTAAAAAATATTTATAATTTAATAAATAACCTAGTAAATATATGGGATGAGTAAAATATATCCAAATTTAATCTAAAAATATTTATTTGAAATCCCTTAATATACTTTTTTAAATAAAATTCATTTGCTTATCACCCATGTGAAATATGCCCAAAATTTTTCAATAAGTCTAAAATTCTTGTTAAACAGGTTTACAGTTTTTATAATAACCTAGAAAACATTTCATAATTATTTAAATAAGATTTTCAATGTAAAGTTACTTACTCAATTATGTTTAAATAGCTACAAATGTTAAATTATTTTACCGAGAGTTAGTAATAATTTAATTTAATATTTAAATTAACTTAATAAGAAATAATATACACATAGGTCATTTAAAATTCGAAATGCATTTTATTAAAATTATTTACAGATCATTAAATCATCAATAATTTAATTTCACAACATGTATGACCAATATAATTAAATCTCATAACTGGTAGAGGCCCTCATATGGGGAACAGTAGCTTACTTCTCGACAAAGCCGGCGATCGTGGAGCAGAAGTCGGCCCTATTGTCCGCCTGTTTCGCAGCACTCTTGCCGTCGACGGTCACCATATTATCCGACGCTTTAGTATTCAAGTTATAAATGAATATATTTTTGGGGGACTTCTCGATGGACAGCATATTGTCCTGACAGTGCTCTGTCTTAAGGCAAGCCTGGTCATAGTTCTGGAAAAAGTTGTACAGCCCGGCCCCGTACACGTACACGTGCTCCGAGTTGACTATCCTGAGACCCCAGGCCATGGGACAGGTGAGCGACCCTTTCTCGCAGGCGCTATAGTCCGGGTCGTTATACTTGGCTATCGGCTTGAAGGGCTCGGGTGCGGCCGGGTAGGCCTGGTAGTAGGGGGTTTCCGTCTGGATCATACCCATCATCACGTTCTTAGCGTTGGCTATACTGTACTGATATAACACGGAGTGCTCGCTAGACGTCCCGTACAGCCATACCGGGCCCTCATTAGACTCGATGTGAACACCTCTACCGTTAAATATTGATACTTGTTTGGGTCCATCCAGGTCATGGTCGGCCACCCAGGCCCACATGTTTTCAACATAGGCTGAGCCGGTAGGTGCTACGTGTAGCATCATAAAAGCACCCTGACACTCCGGCTTAAAAGTACCGCCACGTATACATTCTTTATTTTGAAGTCCAGTGCCCTTCGCCCCGCCTATCCTGAAGTGTACGTCCCATAGAGCGACCCCTCCCTGAACCGACTCCTTAAGGTTGATCTGTAGTAATATAGCCCCGGGAACGGGACCTTTGGTGCTAAATAGGAGTTCCGATATTTCAGCAATACCAGTCTCGCCAGGATTGCCTACTTTGAACACTGGTATGGGATTGCTGGCGTCGCCAAACTTGGCACCGGTAGCCATAATCGTGGACCAGATCTCGCCGATAATACGTGAGCCCTCGGGTACTAACCTCCCTTCACCGACTCCTTGAGGTGGATCTGAAGCATTATAGCGCCGGGAACTGGACCCTCGCTGGAGAACAAAATCTCCGACATCTCGGCGATACCGGTCTCACCGGGGTTTCCGATTTGGAAAACGGGTTTCGGGTTATTGGCGTCGGCAAACTTGGCACCAGTAGCCATGATCACGGACCACACCTCGCCGACCACTCGGGTGCCAGCGGGCAACAGCACGGTGTCGGTGACCACGTAGTCACCGGCGGGGATGTAGATGACCTTGCACCCAGCCCACTTGCTAAAGGCCTTCTTGAGGGCCGCGGTATCATCGGTAACACCATCTCCTTTGGCGCCCTCCGACTTGACGCTTATAAAGTCACCCATAGCTACGTCGGTGTACTGGGGCTTAGGGCGCTCGAAAAAGTTACCCTGGTTGTCCAACAGTACGGCGGGCTTGTTAGCCGCGGTTAATGTAGCTTGTCTATATTGGCCCTTGCCACTCTGGTCGTAGAAACGTCCCTGGCCCCACGAGGCAATCGTTTTGGAGCCACCCTCCAAAAGGGCCTGGCCACCAGGGTTGGCTACCGCTTTTTGTACGTTGGTCAGTTTGACGTTGTCGAGTATGAGTGAGCCGGCACCGGCAGGTAAGCTGGTGGCGCTGTTGACGGTGAGCACACCTACCGGTGTGTCCTTGATCTCGGAGTCCATAAGCAATAGGGAGCCGACACCCTGTTTGGCGGCGCCACCGGCGGTCATCTCGATACCTGTGGTGTAGATATAAATTTGGTTAAAGGTCAATTTTGACTTTTAATTTTGCTTCGCATAAGCTGTATTTAATAATAAATATGTTTGAGTTATATGTTTAACAACTTATAAAAAGTATAAAATGGTTTAATTCTATTTAAGGCTTTTATTTATTTTATTTAACCTGGTAAAATGAATTTATTTATTTATTTAAAATATCTAATTATTAATTTATTTAATATTTACTTCATATACTGTAGGTCGAACAAAATTGTCAATATTATTTTTACTAATTTAAACTAAATTAAGGTGTTATAAATAAACTGTAAATTAGTTATATTTATTTATATGTTTTACTTATTATAAAATTAATATTTAATATTGGATGGTAAAATCTCCTAATTATTTATGTAGATATTGTAGATATTTTTAAATCTATAATATTTATGTATTTTTAATTTAAACCGGATTTTACAAGTTAATTTTGAGTGGCTATTTATGGCAATTAATATTAAGCATATTAAATAATGCTATAAAAAAGTTTTTAAATTTTTAAATGTATAGTTTAAATGCACTACTACAGATTAGTATTATCATAGTTAAACACTCGTATTATATAATCAATAACATTTTTGTATTGAATGTGTGTTTGTAATCCCATAACAATAGTTATCGCAAACACTTATAAGTTTATCACTAGTTTTAGTGCATTAAAATTATTGTGTAGCAATAGGGTTATAAGTGAAAACACTCTTAAATAACAAGGTCGGCCTATAAGTGCATTTACTATAATCTGATTTAATGCTATTTTTATTATCAATACTGAACTTTTGATTTCTATACTAAAAGTCACTAAACATTTCAATCGCTATTATATCTTATCGTTTTTATACTATACAAACTTATTGTTACCACAAACAATACTTAAATTATAATTTATTATATTTTTATTATAGTAGTCATTAAAAAAATATGTTTTGTAAAAGTTTTGATTAAAAATATGTATAGTTTTCAAATACATATGTCACATACATGCCAATTAAAATTAAGACAATTTAACTATAATACCAAAAATAATGAAAAAACAATTCAACAGTTTTTATTAACTTTTTATAATAATCTCTCTTAATTATCTTAATTCTTATTAATATTCTCAATTTACCAGTAGGTTATACTGAAAAATGCTTATACTTTTTAAAATTATATAAATTTAATTTACGGTTAGCAATGTATGTTTGTGGTTAGTTATTGACGATTAAAATATAATGTATAACAAATAAAACTAATATAATATAACATAAGATTGCAAATCAGCAAGCAAATAGCCAATAATTGATAATTAAAAAATAAATAAACTGACCTGTTTTACAGTTCTCGATCTTAATGCCCTTAAACGTCCAACCCCAATTCCAGTTCATGAAAATAGCGGTATTAGCGTTACGAATGGTAATATTACGCGAGGTGAACTGCTGATTGCCCACCCACATACCAAAATTACCACCCTCAAACAACAAGTCGCTCATGTAGCCACCACTGCCATTCTCCATCCAAATACCTTGATGTTTACTATTGGGCAACATCTTAACGTGGACATTGGTAATACTAGTAGCCTGGGCCACCTGCCAGTGGATAGCCGTGGCCTCCTTGGCCGCGTCGACCTTGGTCAAGTCAATCACGAAATTACGGACTTCCCGGTAGAAGTTGTTCTGATTGGTCCAGATCTCGGCCGGTCCGCCGGCGTACTCATCGCTGGTGATGAGCGCCTTGACTTTGTCGCCGTCATAATTGGGCGCCATTATGAGCTCCGGTACGTTGATCGGGTCACCGATGAACTGGGTGAAGTAGAACTGAAGTAGGGTGTGCTGGATGAGGTACTTGCCGGGCGGGAAGTACACGATGGCCGGCGCTATCGTGGACGAGCCGCACCCGATGCCGCACCGGTCGCCGTCGCTAATGGCCAGGTTGATGGCCAGGGAGTCGTCGGTGACGCCGTCGCCCTTAGCGCCAAAGTCCTTGACGTTACGGAAGACCTTGTATGTACCAGGGTTATTGTTAAATGGGGACGACTCCTCGTGCTTGAGCACCCGAAGCCAGTGGTCGTTTTGGTGGCTATGGGGCAGGTCTTTGCCGCCGCATTCGGTGCCGAGTGTGTGAGCGTGTGGGCACAGGTAGGCCACCAGCGCTAAGGCGAGTAACTCTTTAAACATGTCTACAGTTTTTTGTGACAAAACTCTTGGATATGTTTACAAAGACTTTACTTCAATATAAACGGGTTGTGTTGTGAAATGTTTGGGACAGGTATGGGGTATAAATAGGTGAGCGCTATCTACCCGCGCCATGGATACCGGTGTAGATTATCTGCGAAATGTTTTCGCTCGACACCTGCCTTTCCCCCCGACTGAAGGGTTTGATTAAGTATTTTGTTATTTATTTCTTGAGAAGTGATAATTATTTTTAAAAGCAATTTCGAGTGCTTTTAGTGTATTAATCCCTAAAGGAGCTAGATAACTGTCGTAACTGGTAAAGGATTTAGTATTTTTAATTAATAAATGTATATGATTAATATTTTGGCTTGTATGCCAAATTGATTAATTTTATCGGCTTTAGAAATGTGCGTGTAGCTGGGTAAGTTTTGTAATTGTAATAGGTTTGGAAAGTTTCAATAGTTTAGTTACTATTGTACTTAATAGTAATTTTAATTTGTAATAATAAATACAATATTGAAGTTATATGAAAATATAGTTTATTTAAACTGATTAAATTTTGATTAAATATATATTATACAAGGTAATTTTGAGTTTCCGAATGCGTTACGTAGTGTATTTTCAAAATTTGTCTAAACTATTATAGTAGATATTTTTAAAATAAACATTAATTTTATTTAAAATAATATTAAAATTAAAAATTATTAGTTTATTAAAAATAATACGTAAATTAAGAGTAGATCAATATTAATATTTATATGAATTTAGTATATTTAATAAAATATATAGCTTTATTTTACAGTTTTGGTATTTTTTAAAATATTTACTAATTTTTATTAAATAATAATTTCAAATTTTTTAAAAATTCCAAAACATTTGTAGATTCAAAACGCCAGTTATCATTTTAGTAAAAAAAAACTACCTGTCCCTGTCTTTGAACTTTTTTGAATAACATTCCACCATATGTGGTGATCGGTTACCAAGGATCTATTCAGACAGTAATTATCTCCAGTCGCAAAATATTGCAACATGTCTATATTAAAATGTATACATACACATTTTGAAAAGCACAAATTTTTATGCCTAATACTGTACACTGGTGATATAAAATTTATTTTTAGATTATTGATAAATCTTTGTAATATTCCACTATATTTCCGCTAATCACATGCTGTGTAAACTGCACCAGGATCCTATTTAGAAATATTTACATGTGTGATAATAATTTTTAAAAATAATGTCAGATAAAATTATGTAATAAATATTTCTATTTTATAACTTCAATAGACTATTAAACTCATGTTATAAAAACTGTAAATATATTTATAAACAAAAATATAACATTAGTTATTATAAAATAATTTATATTTGGGAAAAGCATCACGAACAAATGTTTTTAAAAATAACTTTTATAAGATATTTTTAAAATTAATTTTAAATACACATTTCGCAACCTTAATCTCAAATCCTTATAGTAAAAACTAAAAACACAAATAAGGATAACAACATTGATTAGTTTAAGTTTTAGTGTACTTTTGTTGTTAATTGGCGTCAAAAATATTTATTGATATTAATATAGCCAATGAAAGTGATTATTAAGTTAGGGCTCATTCAATAGGAACGTACGCAGTGGGTGTGGGGAGGGGGGGGGTCAGCCAAAGCATGCAAACACAATGTTAAAGTTTAATGTATAAATACTAGGGGAGTAGGGTCAAATTGTAGACAATTTTTTGTACGTACTTATTGAACGTTCCCTTATCAATGTATTAAAAAATACATCAAATAAAAAAGTTCGTATGGACTAAACGTACTTTAAATACTTATTTATAAATTTAAAAATAATCATTTATTTACTCATTTAAAGATTATTTAAAAATTTATATATGCTACAATAATTTTATAATTTTATATACTTTTTAATATTAGTTTTAAATAAATTTAATTTAGTACTGTAGTTATATAAATATTGTCAATTCAAAAGTATAGTAAGCATTTATGAGCTTGAAAATAAATTTACAATTTATAAAATATTTATTAATTTAAATGAAACAATAAGGCAGGTTAAAAGGTTTAGTGTTTCAAATTATTATTTATTCAATTATTACGCAATTTATTTAGTGGTAATCCTCAGGACATACACCCATTGGATATGACTGTCCGGATTGAGTGCAGGAAATGTCACTTCAGTTGATCCGCTCTTGTCTTCAGTGAACTGAAGGCTATCCTTAACGCCAATCAATTGAATGGACGCAACGGTACTGTACTTAAGGCCTCCCAATAATACCCGTCCACTCTCTGGCCAATGCACTACCGATGCGTACACTTTGCCCCCATTTTGGTATACCTATCCTCATAAACCATTTCTCGTATCAATAGATGTATTTAAATAAATCCCAATTTTTATATCAAATACTATACTAGTCTTTATGAGTAGCACCGACCTGTAAATCGCTTCTCCATTCCTCTTAAGCCATAAACCCATTTGTTTCAGCCTTTCCTCAAATATAGGTACAATGCTTCGGTCATGTGTGGGCCCGGCGTTTATCACCAGATTTGGGTAAAAACTGTAAGTATATAAACATTTTAACTAATTTTATATTAAGATGTGAAATAAATTTTAATAACTGGAAAGAATATTAGTGGAAGTTATACCTACATATAAGTTACTTTACTTTTATTAGTTTTTGCAAAAAAAATTGTTATTTAAAAAATTATCAAAATTATTTTGAAACTGTTTTACAATCCAAAATATATCTCAACTTACAATTAATACTAAGCATGGTTGCAAAATAACTTAATATAGTAATAAAAATTATTTGCAATTATAGTTAAACTTTCCACAAGTTTCCAGTTCTAGATTTAAGCTTTATTATAATTAAGATAATATCTATTAATTATATTATTTACAGTTTTATAAAGTAATGAAAGCATCTAACATAATAATAATAATCAAGTTGAGTTAAATTAAATATTAAACTCGTACGTCCAAGCAAAAAAAGTGTACAATAGTTAATAAAATAAATACTAAATTTTGATAAAAATCAATAAGGTATTTTATTTATTAACTAGTAGATAGAAATCAAAATAGTATCATTACAATATAATATATAGTATTCTAATTTATAATAGTTAAAAATAATAATAAGTGATTGGCTCTAATATACCCACTAATTATGTTTATAAAATTATTGACATGCTTAGTGTTAGAATATAAATCTCATTACAGCTTGCAAAACTGTCAAGATCAATTCATTTGGTGTGGTATAGCCTACAAAAGGGTTTTTCGTCTAAATGCCCTTGCTTTTTTTAAATAATCATTGCATTTTTCTATTCATGTGGTCATAGTACCATGGTGTTATATTTATCGTTACAATTTCAGTAGTCACCACCAAGCTTACAATTAGCAACCAGACCTATAAAAATACACCACAACATAATAACCTTGCTAATTAGTTAAAGTCAATTTCACGAAAGGATCAGTAAATATTATTGTACCAAAACGGGGTTAAAATATTGAACTGTCAAATATTACAACTGCCCAATGCTGTGGTTCAAAGGTTAAACCTGGATTAATTTTAGTTTCGACCCCTTTTGTTTACTGATCCTTTCGTGAAATTGACTTTAATATCAACATTAAACACTTAACCCATATATCAAATAATTGGAAACTAGAATACAGTGCCCTTAACGGGACTATACGTTGAGATTAAATAAGAAATTGATTTTTATTTGTAATATTTAGGGACAGGTATGGAACAGACCTATCTTTGCATAGCCAGGCCTTAGGGATTCATACTCTTCGGGTCAGACGATAAGACATACGGTTTATATTTATTGATCACTTCTTCCGTTTGATATTTCATATAAACTAATTAATACCAAATTAATACAATATTATGTTAAAGCGGTTTAAAGTCGACAAATAAATTTAAACTTTTACTATTTTCGTCATATAGCCGGATCAGTTTACTTATTAACTTAAGTTAGTTTATTATATTAGCACTGTATAACTAGGTACTGACTTTTTGACAAACCGGGCACACTGATATAGTGATATAATACAAAGTGATCCGGATTATGAGGCTAATGAATACAAAACTAATTTATTATAATTTATAAATTAATATATTAATTAATATATAACAAATATATCTATTAGCAGGGTCAGAGTTTATCGTTAACTAAAATGAAAGAAATTGTTGACTATGTTGATTTGCATCCAAATTATAAACTCAAAACTATACGTAAGCAAAAATGGGCTAATCTTCACCATTGGACTCAAAATAAACGTATGAGAGATTATATTAATAATGGCAATCGTTTTCATCATTATGATAAACTAAATGAATATGTATATAATAAATACAGAAATGCGAGAGACAATTTTCTCCCAGTTCATACCATAGATATTAAACGATGAGGAAAGCAATATAGCATTAATAATAAATTCAAATTTAATTCATCAATTGGATGGTATCACAATTTTACTAATAAATATCGCATTTAAACTAGAAAAGCAGTCAAAATATTGTCAATTAAACAAATCAAGAATAAACATAATATTATTGAATCTGCAAAAATAAATTTAAAACTGAATGACAAAAGGAAGTATTGAATTATTCTGATAAATATGTATTCTCATTTATTAACATGCTTGTTTAAAGTGTTTATTATATTTTTTATGTTATATTAATGTGTCTAGATTATAGACTTTATTATATTCGAAAATTAACAAGCGACACAATTGTTTAATATAATGTTTAACAATTATGCATGTGCTTCATGCCAAGTTATACATATGTCTTGGCATACCGGACATATTTAATATTAAATATCTTATATGCTTTGTATTAAAGCATATTAATAAACAACCACGATGAATTACCATGTTATTTATAATATAAATTATAAGAAATTTAATATAAAATATGTTCAGTACGTCATGACATATGTATAACTTGACATGAAGGACATACATTTTTGTTAAACCCTATTTAACTATTTTTAATATTTGTATTACAAGTAATTTTTTAAATACAAATATATTTCATATTTATTAATTTTATATT